TTTTAGAACCATCACACCCAAGGTGGTCTACTTGAATTGAAAAAAAAGCAAGGCGAGATATATTCAGTGGTGGTGAAGATGCTACAGTCCTTCCCTTTCTCTTGGCTCCAGGGTATGGTGGTGTGCGGTTGTGCTAGTCTCGTGTTATGAGTTCAGTCAGTGGCAAAAGTTATGTGGCAGCTGCTATCAGAACGTTTTCACTTCTCCACTCTAAGCACAGGACGCTCTACTGCAAAACTCCAGTAGCCTGCAACTGGCCCAATTCACTCCAAATGTCAACTTCCTCATTTGACCTGGCCACGTAGCATCACTTTCTCTAGTTCCATATCGCTGGTTACCCACCTTCTTAAGTGTGAGGACCTCCTTATGCTGCAAGAAACTTTTAGAACCACCACCCCCAACCTAAGAAAATACATGACAAAAAATAAATTATGAATTTAATAACACCTTGAGTAATTTTATATTTTACTACCCACAACTACATCTATATACATTTGAAAATCTATAGCATATAGATGTATGAGGCATAACACCCCCTTAGACAATTACTGGTAGACTTAGGAATTTGTGGACTCCCTGGTATATTGAGATGCCTTCGGGCATTTTGGCTCCCAGCTGGAAACCACATCGTTCTGTGCATGAAGACTAGAGTTGGGAGAAGCCTAGAGGCCTCATTAATTTATTTTCATTATGGCAAATCTTCAAAAATAACGCTGGGGATAGTTATGTTTCTTCTGGTTCTTTCTTCAGGAAGAAATAACTTTGACCTTCTTTTTTCAGGTTATATTTTTATTTAGTCATTGTCATTGCTCTCCTTTGGATACATTCCAGTTTCCCTCTAAAATGTGGAAATCAAAACTAGACATAAAAATCAAATCTAAAGCATATTCCTAAGGAATTCTGTGTCATCATGGGCAAGGGCCTACTCAGCTCTATGTCTCCTCAATACCTGGGTTAGACTACCTTTCTACCAGAACTCTCCTTACTCAGATATACATGAAGCCTATTGACTAACCTAATGTTCCTAAAAGCCTAAAGATTCATATTTGGTTTTTATTAGTACAATGTATGCTTAATTCTGACTACATTATTTTATTTTTCATGGATTAGAGGAATATTTTAAAATAAACTTTATTGTGTTTATTTAAAGTATACAACATGTATGTGGGGTTTTTTGGGGGGTTTTGTTGTTGTTTTTGAGACAGAGTCTCACTCTGTCGCCCAGGCTGGAGTGCAATGGCGCTATCTCGGCTACTGCAACCTCTGCCTCCCAGGTTCAAGTGATTCTCCTATCTCAGCCTCCCGAGTAGCTGGGACTACAGGTGCCCACCACTATGCCCAGCTACTTTTAGTAGTGATGGGGTTTCACCACATTGGTCAGGCTGGTCTCAAACTCCTGACCTCAGGTGATCCACCCACCTCAGCCTCACAAAGTGCTGGGATTACAGGCATGAGCCACCGTGCCCAGCCTCAACATGTGTTAAAGGATACATACAGATAGTAAAAGGGTTACTACAGTGAAACAAATTAATATATCTATCTCACATAGCTATACATTTTACTTGTTTTTGTGGCCAAAGCAGCTAAAACCTATTCATTTAGTGCTCATTTAGTGTAAGTCCCATATACATTACTTTTGTTTTTTACTTCAAAGATGCATTATGAGTTGCTCTCTTATCGTGAAATGAACCATTTAGCAAACTCTGAACTTCATAAGTGAGTGTTCAAAACATGATTTTCAAAGACATTCCTCACCATTGTGGTTAAAGCCATAATGCAGAGTTTACATGTACACTTTTAAAAGAGGAATCTCAGCATGTAACTTCAAAGAGGTATTGTGATGTGCTTTATTACAGGGAAATGAACCATTTATCAAACTATAAACTCCCATACACAGTACAATTGTATTACTTACAGTCCTCATGTTGTATATTAGATTTCTGATTGCAGTTTTAAATTCAGAGTCATTAAATATAACTTATTCTTTTTAAGCAGACTGATGAGGAGAGTTCTGACACCTTCCTTTAGGTATGGCAGACAGAAATCAAACTAGAAGAATCAAATTTTATTAAATTCTGGAAAGAACAAGGGTTCTAGTCTTTTTAGTATTTTATTTGCAATATGGGTGAGATCCTCTGAGATATTTTAGCAAAAAACTTCATTGTAGATGTAAAAAATGTCATTATCATGATAATACAGGTACAGTCAGAAAGAAAAGGAAGCATAAGTGCTGTCAATGGTAATAATTTCAATTCCCAGCTGAAAGCAACGTAAATGAATCAAATCTAAGAATGTGTTTTTTTTTTTTTCCCAACAGTCAATTTGATGAACTCCTGAACCATCGTTTTATTTGCTGGGAGCTGACATGAAGTAATGATTTTAAACAGAGTATATATTTATGTCATATAAATTAATTAGGCAAAATGTCTATATCATATTTTAATCTTTTTTTTTTTTTTTTTTTTTTTTGAGACGGAGTTTCACTCACGTTACCCAGGCTGGAGTGCAATGGCGCGATCTCGGCTCACCGCAACCTCCGCCTCCTGGGTTCAGGCAATTCTCCTGCCTCAGCCTCCTGAGTAGCTGGGATTACAGGCACGCACCACCATGCCCAGCTAATTTTTTGTAGTTTTAGTAGAGACGGGGTTTCACCATGTTGACCAGGATGGTCTCGATCTCTTGACCTCGTGATCCACCCGCCTCGGCCTCCCAAAGGGCTGAGATTACAGGCTTGAGCCACCGCGCCCGGCCATATTTTAATCTTTTAATTGTCTCATTCTTTTCACATCAAGCTTTTATGCAAAGCCATTTTTTTTAGCAATATGGAGTTCAATTGCTTCTGTTAAACAGTAAAAATACCAACATGAGTAACCAAGTAGTCCATGAAAGACATTTTTCTCTTACAGAAGTATTAGAGCTGATGAAGAAAATACATTTTTTTGAACTCCTAAGGAATCTGAGCATTGATCAGCAACTGCTAATATCATTAAAAGAGAGAGAATCAGCCTCCCAATGGAAGAACACACTACCACCTGTGAAACATCTTGACAAGTTCCAGGTGATGCTGATAATACTGGTGCACAGAACACACTGAGTATATTTTAGACCATGACATGAAAACCCAGCTTTGGCAAGAAATCTGTCCCCTCCACTTCGTTCCCTCTTTCATAATTTCCTGCTGAGTTCCTACACTTTTTCCTGTTTTGCTGGTGAGAAAGTTTTAGGTACAGCAGGATGGATACAAATGAAAAGAAAATATTTTAAAGTTACAACTTCAAGTGAAGATTTTAAGTTGTCTCAAGGGTAGAGACATATAATGTGCACGAATTATACATACTTCAACCAAATCATTGAATATATGATATCCTATTTCTTGACATAAATGGAGCTGTATGTCTGCATAACTGAAAAAGTTTATTTACAGACAACCAATATAATGGGTGAAAATATTCACAAACTATGCCTCTGACAAAGGAACTTAAATCAACAAGCAAAAAACAACCCCATTAAAAAGTGAGCAAAGGACACGAACAGACACTTCTCAGAAGAAGATACACTTGTGGCCAACAAACACACAAAAAAAGTTCCACATCACAAATCACCAGAGAAATGCAAATCAAAACCACAATGAGATACTGTCTTATACCAATCAGAATAGTTTTGTTAAAAACTTTTTAAAAAGCAGATGTTGGCCAGGCTGTGGAGAGAAAGGGACACTTACCCACTGTTGGTGGGAATGTAAATTCATCTAACCACTATGGAAAGCAGTTTGGAGATTTCTTTAAAAACTGAGATTTCAAGCACCATTCAATCCAGCAATCCTATTACTGGGTATATACTCAAAAGAAAATAAGGAAAATCAGTTGTTCTGCCAAAAGGACACATGCACCCACATGTATGTTCACTGGAGTGTTATTTCCAATAGCAAAGACATGGAATCAATGCAGGTGCCCATCAACAGTGGACTGGATTAAAAAAAAAAATATGTGGAACACATATACCATGGAATACTACACAACCATAAAAAAGAATGGAATTGTGTCCTTTGCAGCAACATGGATGCAGCTAAAGGCTATTATCCTAAGTGAACTAATGCAGAAAAAAAAAAACCAAATACTACATGTTATCACTTATAGTGGGAGCTAAACATTGGGTAAGCATGGACATAAACATGGGAACAACAGACACGGAGGAATACAAAAAGGGAGAGGAAGGGAAACAAGGGCTGAAAAACTACCTATTAGATACTATGCTCAATACCAGGGTGACAAGTGTGGTCATATCCCAAACCTCAGCATCACACAATATACCTCTGTAACAATCTTGCACATGTACACCTTGATTCTAAAATATAAGTTGAAAAACAAAAAGAAGTTTAATTAATAATCAACACACCCTCTCATTGTTCAGGTGTCTCTGGGGAGTAAGGTGATCTAAAGGAATCACATTTTCCAGATAACTGAAGTTTATCTTTTTAACTTTCCAGACACAGCTATTTTAGACATTTTTAATTGAAATTTTTCTGGAATTAACATACAAAATAATTTTTAACTATACAAAACAAAGTTTAACATATCTACAATTATCCAGGATCAGTAGTTTTTGCTCCATGGTATGACATAACAACGTTATAAGAGCTACTAAGGTCTACGTGGAACTGTGTGCTCTCAACACAGTGAAGTCCCAGTGCCCAGGGCAGGGTTTCCCAGTCTGTTTGGAGCAATAATCTGCTGCCTTCCCCCACGGTCTGCTACTTCACTCTGCTGATGGTCCTCCCCTTGCAATTTCTAATCTGCTGCTTTGTTTTTCATGTGATAGTCTGGGAAAGATTCTGAAATGGGCTCCCTTCTCACTCCTCTTATGTTTTAAAGTAGGAGCTCTCTTTCAGGGCTTTCAGTTGCTGGTAATCTGAATTCAGGTAATCATGTCAGCTTAAAGAAATTACAAAAATTAATCCCTCTTTAAGTATCTTCTACTATGACGATTGATTGAATACTCACTGATGCCGGTGTCCTTACAGTACTGGACCACGTACTGTCCCATGACTTTTAATAGATGATTATACTCTCGGACATTGAGAAATTCCTGTTTATTGTGGGATGGTTCCATTATCTCCAAGGGTATATTAACAATTCCAACCACGCCTGCACCAAGTCTGAGAAAATATATGCATATTTACATTTTGTAATTCTGGCTAAAGAAAAACAAATCAAATATATTCTGGTCATTTGAAAACTTTTTTTTTCCAAAAGTAAATTCATTCCATTGGTCCAGACCATGTCAAAGTTTAACAATTTATCTAATTATGTTATGGTAAATCTGTGGTGATCCCAATGTGTTTAGTCCCATAATAAAAAATCACTCTAGCACAATGTGACTGAGTTAATATGACTTTTTACAAACCTATCACCTTACATGGAGCGTGAGGGTGGGTGGGAAGGCAAGTCCTTTGACATTAAAAGCCATGGTGCCTTACTGCAATAAACTAGCATAATCTTCTAAATGACAGTGGCCAGAGAACCACTTTCTTTGTCTGCATTTCATCTATCAGATTGGATTTCTCCTCCTCATTGCAGAGGTCCGTGGGGTGCTCAGTGAATTCTACTAAGGAATCACAGAGTGGGCTTGTGCCAGAGGGTAATGAGTATCTCACTGTAAATCTGCTTGGTGACATAACCTGCTTTCTGAAAGAGCATACAATTGTCTAAGCCTTTAGGGCTCCCCACCACCCTTTGCAGACACACGTTGTTACCACTTCCCTCTTCCACTCTGCTTTCCTTTCACTATTCATTCTGTAAGTCTAAATTTGGGCATCATTCTTCTAGGAGGTCTGAATTGACTTCCCCAGTTTGCTTTACTGACCCTCCTGAATGCTCTTTTTGCACTGATGCTCAACTCTAACGTAATATTAATTCATTCATTCATTCAAGCTCACTACCTGGCCCTATCCAAGAGCTAGCAATATAGTGAGAACCAGAAATACAGGTTCCCCTAGCTTTGAAGTTTCTCTTCTATGTAATAAAAATATACAAGATCATTTCAGATGGTGATAAGTGGTATGAGGAACATAATGTAGGTGCTGTGATAAGTGAAGAGTGATAGGTGGAGGGGATAAGGGGAGGGGCCAGTTTTAATTAGACAGTCAAGGAAGATGTTCCTGTGGAGATTACTTCAGGCTCATGGCTGAATGGCATGTTAAGGCCAGCAGTAAGAAAATCTGAGGACAGAAGGTTCAAGGCTGAGGAAATAGCACGTCCCAAGGTCTTAATACAGGAATTAGCTTAGGAGGTGTGAGAAGCAGGCAATGCAGAGAGTGTAGGGCATAAGTAGGGGGTGAGATCCCACAGCCAATCAGAGATCAGACCACTGGAAGACCATGGCAAACAGTTCTACTCCAAGTGCACTGGGATTTAGGCCAACTAATCCAGATTGCATTTATATGCTTGTCCCATTCACTGTACAATACATTCCTTAGCAAAAGGTAGTAGGTCTGGACCATTTATCAGCAGAGCTTGGTATAGTGCCTGGCATATGCTGCTGCACTATAGGTGCTTGTTAAATAAACAATGAATGAATTACCAATTCCTTGAGAGTGCTAGAGCAAGATAGTAAATGCTCCCCTGACCCATTATACTGGTCATGATTACCTTGTCTGACCCTGTCCTTTTCTGTGTGTCTCTTCAGGACTCTACATCATTGATGAAAGCAGCTTGAGAAATTTCAGACCATTGGGAAAGCATGAAAATGTATTACTCTAAAATCCAAAGGGGCTAGCGAGTTTTAATAACATGACCATGCAGGAAACTGGCAAGAACTCATGCATATGGGGGCTTCACAAAATGTTAATAGGGTTGCTTTACAAGACTATGGATTTTTCTTTTCTTTCTCTTCTAAAATTTATTTAATATGCTTGTATTATATTTAAATTGGTAAAGCATCAAAAATTTAACCCAAAGCGGTGGCACAAGGAAAGGCCCCACACCAAGTTGTTCAATAAATGCATTGAAAAAATTTCCCACAGTGTGATTTTTCCACACAGCATGCATGCAGACTCACTGATATTATAAATGAGGCACATAAATGCCTGCACATCGACAGGAAGGGTGAACAGAGACTGTGACACTTGCTCCCATTGTGATTAGTCATTCATCTCACTCCACAGACAGAATCTTACTGCAACCTCCCTTTCTCTGCTTATATCTGTGAGAGCGAAAAACATACTTACAGGGACTTCAGTTTCAACTGCGGGCCCACTTTTTCGTGCATTTTGATCAAACGGTTATTACTGTAAATGAACATTCCAGCTTGGCTTCGGTTTTCTATGTTCACTCCATAGAACAGGGAGAGTGTTCTTGCTTTCTTCAATTCTCTAGAGTTATATTTAGAAAGTTTAAAAAGTTGTTTATTAAATAAACATATATAGTTTATGAAATGGCTAATAATTAATCTAAAAGGTTAACGTCAAAGGCATATATCCAGATACTTTGCCAAACCTGGTGGGCACACTCAGTTATCTCTGCATAGCCAAGTATTCTGCATAAACATGATGCCAGTAACTATGTCAGTCAAACAAAGGCATTTACTGATTCAAAAACAAGTCTGCAAATTTAAATTTACAAGAACTAGAAAATGCCAAAAGGGTTCTGAAATATTAACTGGTCTTATAGGTACATTGCAGCATTTGTTTAAAAAAATGATGACTTGGTTATTTTAAATTTAGGTATTTCTAACATCAGTTGTGATTCCTAAATTTCAGCATGTTCTCAAGTCTCCAGGTATCCTACATAGATTGGAATGTGCCAAAAGATAGTCCCTGGCTTTCTCTCTAACCTTTTCCAAAATACAAGGTAAATAATAGTTATTATAATAAAGCGAGTTTACAAGGGCAACAGATATGAGCTCCTGTTTTTCTCACTGACCTTCTATATTATGTTTTGTGCGAGTTTTCTATTAAAAGTATAAAACAGAAATTGAGAAATACCAAAATGTGATAAAAACAGCTATGGTAAGGAGCTGTGATATAAACATCTATGGTATCAGAGGCTGCTAGGAGCTATGAAAATGCCTGGATATGAGAGGCAGACCTGTTTTCAAATACAAGCCTGTCTTTGTAATAACCATGTGACCATGGATGTGCCTCTTAAACTTTCTGTCTCATTTGAAAAATGGGAGTAATACCTACCTAGCCACTTGTGATGTCATAAGAACTAAAAAAAAAATGTTAAATATAAGCCTGAAACAGGTTAGGTATGTAACAATTGTTATTTTCTTTACCCAGCCAAGAATGACACCAAACATAATTCTCCTGCACTCACCCTGTAGCTCCCCTCCCTCCATAAACTTGGCCTTTTGTTTTCAAGCTCATGACCAGGTGCTATTACAATTGACATAATACACTTACCAGTAACTAATTAAATGCATCTATCATTAAAGAATGATAAAGTTCTATCAGTCCTTCCATATAGATATGATATAGAGAAAACATAAGACATGAGTTAATATACTATATATTTATTAAATGCATGTATATCTAAGGTTAAACATATGTAAATCAAACTTTTTCTCAAAAATCACTACTCAGTAATGAGATCTCAACTCTTCAACAAGAGTATAAGGGGTATGTAAATAAGTTATTACAGGATATGATAGGACATAATCACTCTATAATATTAAATGATATATTGACATTCTTCAGTTTTTTGTTTTTTTTTTTTTTTTTTTTTTTTGAGACAGAATCTTGCTCTGTCACCAGGCTGGAGTGCAGTGGCATGATCTCAGCTCACTGCAGCCTCCACTACCTGGGTTCAAGCGATTCCCCTGCCTCAGCCTCCTGAGTAGCTGGGACTACAGGCGTGTGCCACCATGCCTGGCTAAATTTTTTTTGTATTTTAGTAGAGATGCGGTTTCACCATGTTGGCCAGGATGGTCTCAATCTCCTGGCCTCATGATCTGCCTGCCTCGGCCTCCCAAAGTGCTGGGATTACAGGCATGAGCCACCTTGCCCAGCTATTCTTGAATTAAAAAAAAAAAAAAAGCAGCATTTCCTATTAAAACAAGTTCATGGCAACTGGCATTATTATTAATAAAATGCTGATTGGTCATTTTTCATACATTTCACTGTATGAACTATCTCACACAGTGAACTTGTTTCAACAAGGTTTTTACTTCTAAAGACCTTAGAGAGAGCTTCATTTTTCAATTAAAATTTCTATGACATTTATTTAAATTTTTTCTGGTAGATGTAGAAGTAACATTTCAAATTTATTTATTTTGATAAATGCAAAATTGACATTTAAAATTTAAGTTTTGAGGAAAGTTATGGTTGAATGTCAGTGCATGGTTCACCAAAAATAATGTTAAAAACAAATCATACTTCCCTTAAGAATAGTTTCACAAAGATATAATAACTTTTAAAGTCTGATCTTATGCGGGCAGCAGTGATTATTTTCAGTTTAACTTGGTTAGCATTTGAGTTGGAGAGCAAGTTAATCTTACAAATGTAAATAAAATATTTCATTTTGTTAACATAGCCTTACTTTTTTAATGATATATAAGCAATACATTCATGTGAAACATTATTTCCTATCTTAAATTTTTAAGGTACTAGACAAAGGGAGGAAACTGGAACCAACTCTCTAGAATTTAAATGGCAAATGACACAAAGGGAAAGTGAGTTATCAGCTGATCCCTTCCTCATGCAGACATCTTCATCTATCCCAAACAATTAAATGCTGAACTAATTTTTCATTTTTTTCAGAATTTTTATTATGTAGACACGTATGTGTACATGCAAATATATACTTTATCAATGTTTTATATTGCTTATCTTGGTTGGGGGACCTTGACTGTATTAGGTTTTAAATTATAAGACGTCACAAACTGAAAAAAAAATTGTCACGGTAAACACTAAATCTACCTCCTTAGAAACTAGAATTTGTTTTAACATAGTACAGAGGATCCCTGCAAACAGAAAACCTTATGTCCTACCTTTGTTTCTCTTTAAGATTCTTTTGTTTTGCTTTTGCATCTTCCAAAGCTCTCTGTAACACATCCTGGAGAAGTACATTGGTTGGGAGAGAACATAACACCACTGAATTAACCAAAAGCAAGTTGATACTATCCTGTTATCCAAATGTTTCAACAGTAATGATAGCCCACATTACCTAATGCAATTCTACCATAGCAGATTCTCAATACTTGATAAATCATTCAGTTCCAACACCTTAAAAGATAAACCAAATCGTAGCCCACTATTCTCTTTTGTACATATTCAGATATCCTCTCTTCCTTTTAGAGAAAGAAACTTTATTCTCTATAATGGCACAAAGACTTTGACAAAAACTACGAGAAAACTTGGGTGAGTTATTTAGCATACCCAAGCTCTGACTTTCGTCTGTGAGAACAATAAATGCTCAATTATGTGACCACTGAATGTTCTTGCAGGAAAGAAAAAACAACAATAATTGAGAAATGTTGTTAGTAGCCAACAGAAATCTCCTTCACATTGAATTCTGGATACCTCTAATATTTCTCAAACTTTCCCTTTATAAGATACCCCATGCCCAGTTGTCTTTCTTATTAACTGTTTTAATTTGATATATCAACTCATTCGCTACTCTAAATCTAGTGTGCTCCCTCTAATCAAGCAGAAGAAGAAGAATTCATTATTGTTCTTGGCATAAGAATAGCCTCTTAACATGCTTCACCCACCTGAGGTGAAAGGTGGGCATCTGTTTTGAGGTATAATATAACACTGACGGAACACTATTTTCACTGCCTTTCAAGTAAAAGAAAATGGAAATGGTTGGCAAGTATTCCATTTAAAATTCATCTGCCCTGAAGAATTTAAGAGGTTAAAAGTTTAGGTCATTCTGCTTTGCTCTCTTCTCTGCCTTAAAGAAACCAAAGAGCCTCAGAGGAACAAAGAACATTGGTCAAAGACTTCCCCACCCTGCCTGACAGTGCCCTTAGATCACAGAGCAGAGGCAGGGAGAAGAAACAGCAGAAGGCAAAAAAGGAAGAAGGACCTGACCCATGAGTCTTTCTCTTGACTCTCAAACACATAAAGCAAAGGGAAATGATTTCTTAGAAACAAAATTTTTAAAAGCTTAAACTATTAAAAAATTAATAATCAATAAAAATAAGATACATTTACCTTTAACTTAAAAAAATGAAAAGAAAAAACTAGGAGAATTTGGGACAGGCCATGGACAGAATTAGCTTTGGGGCATTACCATGGGCTACTCTGATGTCATCCCTTACTCAGGACCTTAGATAGGAAAGGTCTTTATCAGACACAGCCTTGGTCCTGGAAAGTTAAATGGCAAATCATTGAAAGGATTAATATATTCGGTCTGCAGAAGAGGATGAAGAGAAGGTGAAGTAAAGCATCTGCCTCCATATTCCTAATTATCCCTTTGTATGTAAGCAAATAAATATGTTGCTTAATGATTCACCATTGTTTAAAGCTTCATAGCATATTTTTGGTAAAAGTTAGCAAACTTACAATACATGTCTTACAGCAATATTTTTTCTCTTGGTTGCAATGCATTACAATTAATAATAGTTCTTCGTAACTTATCTTACTTATGGGCATATTGTAAGGATTACAAAGAATGTTTATGAACTGTGTGGAGCAACTCATAATAAAAGAGCTTTGTAAGCTGGAAGCTTTGTTATTAATACTCATAATTACAGTATATAATCCCAAGCATTAAAAAGAAGGATTGGTTATTACACATTTCCTTGCTGTCCCCATTTATTTGGGTCCACAGGAAGCTATAATTTGAATAGCTATTTTCAAGGAAACTTGATAGGCTAGTTCTTTTTTCTACTGGCTTTTCATTATTTTTTCCCTTTCTCCTGTTACTTTCCTTTCCGTTTTAAAGAAATTGGTTGTGATGTTCTTCCCCACGGTTTCAAATTCACCCCATGTTCTGTTCATCTTTTCTCTCCACCTCAGCCTTGCCTCCACTTGCTGACTTTCCTCTCCTTTCACTGCACTCATCTATTCTGTTTACCTGAGTTAAAATCAACTTAATCTTCTGAGCTTATCTGTGCTTAAAAGTTGAGGGAGTAGATGGTAAGAGACAGCTATGCAGAGGAAAAAGCAAATGGCACGATTTGCCTTTTAATAAGACTACTCTCTTTACATGTCTTACCTTGGCAGAAGACAAAGAGGTTCTGTCACACTGGTTTACTTTCATTTGTGCTTCTTTCAATACAAATTCAGCTGGAAGTGGAAGCCAGATAGTTATATTACAGCAAAATTATTTCAAGCAATTCTAAGTATTTTCCATGCATATAGCATGACCAGTGAAAATGGCATACAGACCATGATCTCAGAGAACTCTACGTTCCTCTTATAACATTTACAAATTTTAAATCTTTTTTCTACTAGGCTTTCATTTTGGCATGACAATATATAGGACACAAATATACATACATAAAGTCAAAAGTCATAAGTGAATTTTTAGCTGACAGGAAATGTTTTAAAATCCACAAAATATGGATGTAGAGCTACTACTCACCCCCAGATAACTGGGTAAGAGTAGCTTTGTTCCTGCAGTAGGAGGAGTGAATATGTAGAACGTCCTTCTTAAAGCGAATGCAGTGCAGGGATCTAAAACACCTAACACGGTGTTATGACACGCAGAATTTCTTACTTTATTTTATTTTTAAATACAGGCATGGTCTCACTATGTTGCCCAGTCTAATCTTGAACTCCTGGCCTCATGTGATTCTCCCATCTCAGCCTTCCAAAGTACTGGAATTATAGGTGTGAGTCACTATGCCCAGACAGACAAACAAGGTTTCTAACAAATAGCAATCTAGTTTGAAGTGTGTTCAGGATCATATTTAAAATCATAAATAATATCATGAGTAAACAAACTCAGATATGGAAAGAATGTGCTATGATGTTCCATAGGGACAGAAACTACATTTAATTAATTGTAGTAGCTCCTACAATGCCTAGAGCAATGTATGTCTCAGAATAAGTGCACAATTAACATTTGCCGAATGACTGAACAACAATGATGTAGGCTGCAGGTAATTGCATACCAATCTTTACTGCTTCTTCTGCCTTTTGAACTTCATTTTTAAATGCTCCTTTGAAAGAAGATGTGACATAAAGATACTTTCTGGAAAGAAAGAAGAAAGAACATAATCAAGTCAGATTATCATTTTAAAGTACATAAGACAATATTCTTTAGCAAGACTGTATGCTCCAGAGATACATAATTATTAAGAAAGATTCATCGAGTCATCCAGCTGGTAAATTAGCAAACTTTATACCTAAGTGAAATTTCTTGCCTTTTACTACTTAGAAATGTTGCTTTTGTAAGGAAACTTCATGAGAGCAACAGGAAAATCAGCCCACACAAATGTTCACTTAGACATATAAACTAGGATAATTTTCTTTAAAAAAAAATTATGAAATTGTTCCCTTATCGAAGTTTCTGGTTAATATGCATAGCCCTCTTACTCAGATTATCATTGACACTGGAGAAACTACTTCTCCTAGTCCCAAAACAATTATCTCTAACTGCAATGCTCAGAAACACACATTCATGTACCATTTTAAATTACCAAAAGCACATTTTCTACTTTATTGATTGAGAAGCCTGTTTTCAAGGTCCATTGTTTTAGTAATGGCAAAGATGCTCTAGAACATAAAGGAAAAATGTATGTATGTATATATCCATAAACTCAAAGAGAACAAAGCATAGGTGAGAAAAGCCCTAAAGAACTTCAGGTTCTCCGAATACGGTTGAAACTATGTGCATCTGTTATAGAAAATTCTTAGAAATGGGCTTTTAAACATTGGCTTAAATCATCATAGAGAGAAAAATGCTAGAATAATACTTGGTTTGAGAATGCTCAAAGCACTGTAAACTCTAAATGTACATCAATAAGAAAATAGTTAAATAGGCCGGGCGCGGTGGCTCAAGCCTGTAATCCCAGCACTGTGGGAGGCCGAGGCGGGTGGATCACGAGGTCAAGAGATCGAGACCATCCTGGTTAACATGGTGAAACCCCGTCTCTACTAAAAATACAAAAAAATTAGCTGGGCATGGTGGTGCGTGCCTGTAATCCCAGCTACTCAGGAGGCTGAGGCAGGAGAATTGCCTGAACCTGGGAGGCGGAGGTTGTGGTGAGCCAAGATCGCGCCATTGCACTCCAGCCTGGGTAATAAGAGAGAAACTCCGTCTTAAAAAAAAAAAAAAAAAAAAAAAGTTAAATAAATCATAGTGCTATGCAATATATTTAACACTGATGAAAGTCTCCAAGATATAACTGTAAGTGAAAATAACAAGTTGTTGGGCCGGGCGCGGTGGCTCAAGCCTGTAATCCCAGCACTTTGGGAGGCCGAGGCGGGTGGATCACGAGGTCAACAGATCGAGACCATCCTGGTCAACATGGTGAAACCCCGTCTCTACTAAAAACTACAAAAACTTAGCTGGGCATGGTGGCACGTGTCTGTAATCCCAGCTACTCAGGAGGCTGAGGCAGAATTGCCTGAACCCAGGAGGCGGAGGTTGCGGTGAGCTGAGATCGCGCCATTGTACTCCAGCCTGGGTAACAAGAGCGAAACTCCGTCTCAAAAAAAAAAAAAAAAGAAAATAACAAGTTGTACATAATTTTATGTTTAAAAAAAGCTATGTGTGCATGCATGTGTGTGCACATATACATACATAAAACTGCGTAGAAAACAACAAACTGGAAAGATATTTATTAAACTTCTAACAGAGGTTCTCCTTTGGGGAATATTACAGATTGCTATAAGCACAGAATGAATGACAAATGGTAAAAGGGACTTTTAGTTATTTGACTTTTCCCCCATATCTAATTCTGCATTGTATAAATTTTTGTTCATTTTACAATTTTTATGAGGAAAATAGAATGCTTCTCTATCAAGAGAAATAGAAGAAATACTCAGTGCCTTTCAAGGCTTTGTGCTGCAGAAGTATAGAGCATAACTTAATACAGCATTTTAGGTGAATGGTTTGATCAGAACAACCGGCAGAAATTCAAACTTTTATTGACTTTAATTTTCACACTTAAAACATTCCTTCAAAATACTTTGGCCAATATCAAATATAGTATTCTAAAGTTTAAGTTTGAAAAAACAGACTATAAGTAAAGAAAACTACAGTTCTGAACTTTTATCAACACAGAAAAATGAGCCCACAATTGTAAGTCATAACTATATTGTAGTACTCAATCATAATTATTTCTTTAAAGTTATAAGAGTTTACCTGGTTTAGTGGTATTATAAAATAATTCTAATCCTTAATTATTCTTTACAACATGTAATTAGGCAGGATTGAGAATTTTCTGGTTAGTATAATATTGATAGGTAGAGATGCGGATGTCAAGTAGACCTCCCAAACTTAGTATGTCCAGTGCGACACGATGAGAACTCCATCCACCATTCCTCCTAACCTCTACACTTGCACCTCCCCTATCATTCCCAAGATTTTGTTCAGGATAGAAACTTAGAAAGCCTTCTTGACTCCTCATTTTGTCTCCACCCCATATCCAATCCATTGGCGGTCTTACTGGCTCTATCTTCACAACATACCTGTAATCCAGACACTTTTCATCCCTTCCACCATTACCACCTTAGCTCTAGCTCATTTCTACCCTAGAATAAAGTAATGCTATCTATCCTACTGCAACTTCCCTCCTTTCTTCTTGTCTCATGAAACCAGTTCTCTACTCAACAGCTAGAATAATCTTTTAAAAACATAGGCCAAGTACACTCCTCTGCTCAAGTCATTCCATTCTCAATACAGTCACCTCTTCTTGTCTTGTTGTTTCAGGCCCTACCTGGTCTGCCCTATCTACCTTGATCTGTTTTCTGTGTTCTAGCTAGACTAGCCTTTGATTCCTGTCTTTGCACTTACAGTCCCTTCCTTCTGGAACCATCTTCTCACAAAATTATTGCATAACTCACTGTGCTACCCACCATCCAAGATGTCTCCTAGTGGTTTTTATTTTCTCCTGGTATTAATGCCTATGTGTGGTGTCCTCCCACACTAAATCTAGGCTGGCCTGTGGCATGGCAAAAGTGATGGTCTGTCACTTTTGAAGATGGGTTCTAAAAGGTTGCAAGTTCTACTTTGCTCTCTTGAATTGCTCACTCTGATAGAAGCCAGCCATTATGTCATGAAAGTACTCAGGTGGACCTTTGCAGTGGCCTTTGTAAAGAGAAACCGACTTGCCCCAAAGTTGCCACGTTTATTGTATATTGCCACATTATTCACAATCACAAAGACATGGAATCAATCTAGGTGTCCATCAGTGGTGGATTGGATTTTTTTAAATGTTGTGCATATACACTACAGAATACTACACAGCCATAAAAAATAATAAAATCATATCCTTTGCAGTGACATGGATGAAGTGGAGATCATAATCTTAACTGAATTAACACAGGAACAGAAAAACAAATATCTCATATTCTCATCTATAAGTAGGCGCTAAACACTGAGCACACATGGACATAAACATGGGAACAACAGACACTGAGGAATACAAGATGGGGGTGGAGGGAGGCAGGGATGGGGGCATGGGTAGAAATCATCCCTGTTGGGTACTGTGCTCACTAGCTGGGTGACAAGATCCATACCCCAAACCTCAGCATCACGCAACATACCCATGTAATAAACCTGCACATGCACCTCCTATTTCTAAGATAAAAGTTGAAATAACAAAAAATAAATAATTACCTGATATTTTATCATCCATTTTAATTTATATGTTGTCTTCCATGCCCCTCACTAGAATGTAAGCTCCATGAGGGCAGGAATTTTTTCTTTTTGCTTATGTCCAATGCCTACAAGAGAGCCTTGCACATAGTGGTCATTCCATCCACTTGCTCTTACTCATTTGTATAATAACAACTACTATCGGTTTACAAACATTTCAGAAACCTTGCTGACTGTTTTTATGTTTAAGATAAAACACTGTTTTAGTTTAGTCCTCATAATAATAACCTCAGTGGCAGAGGAATTCCCAATTCACACTGGAGAAGAGTAAGACTCAAGTAATAGCCAAAGGTCCACAACTAGTAAATGGTAAAACCTAAACTCAAATCCAGGTTTGGTTAATCCAAATTGTGCTTCCAATTATCATACTATAATAAAAGATTAAGTAATTCAGCATTGCAAAAATTCAAAAATGGACACATATAACATGCATGGTGTGCAAAAGAATCACTGTTCAAATATTACTAGTCTGATGGGTGGGTGGGGTGTTAGGGTATGGAAAGTATCCCTTAAAAATGAAATCCCTGAATAATTTTAAAAGGACCATGTGGTTCCCACGAATGCAGGGTAACACCAATCCTAACTCACAGACTTACACAATGTTTAAGTTGAAAGAGAACTGAGAAATCACCTTGCAATCTTTTCCAAAGTAATAATTTCTTCTATAATCGAGACTCCTCCAGAGACAAATTTGTACTCATCTTGGGTGGGAGTCCCTCCCATTGCTGGAGAGCATGAACAACTCCATTAATCACATGCCACACTCATGGCCCTCACTGCGTTGCTACACTTCTTGCTAATGTCTGTCTAGAAAAAGTAAACTTCCTGTTCTAGACCCTGTAGATTTAGTACTGTGGATGTCAAATACACTAACCGGACCAGGGACTGGTGCTACGCCACAGGAAGATATGTGAGAAGGCAAACCCCTCTGAAGTGGCTTGTGCCAGAAGTCTGTCGAATAGAGTAGCTTTAAAAACCCACTCTTAGAGGCACAGATGGTAGGTGCACCCAGTGAGGACGTACAGCTTAGTGGAAACTAGGTGTATCCTGAGCAACACTGGGCTATTCTTCAGTTTTCCAGAACATCACAGTCATGAAAACAGTGAGGCAAAGGTGCTGGTGAGGCACCTTCATTTCCATTTAGGGTAGCCAGGTGGCCAAGTACACAGAGTATCTAATCATTTTTAATAGCCTTTAAAAAGGTTATTAAAGCCTGTACTTTGGTCACAATTCTAGTTCTTAATCTGCTCTAATACAGCCGTTAGAGCTACACTGACTTTTATGAAAGAAAAAAAGTAGGAGTTATCCTATTAGGGGTGGGATAACATGGAGGAAACTCCACATATTTTTTATGAAGAACTTTTGCCACCAGAGAACCTGTGGGAGAAATTACATGTAAGTAAGTATGGCAAAGCCCTAAGGTATAACACCATAAAGGAATAAATCCTTCTATACTGTGGATACCAATTAGAGCTCCAAATGAAATCTGGCAAAGGTTCAAGCCTCCCTAAATTTCTCTTCAGGAAATACACACACACACACACACACACACACTCATACTCACTCTACACGTACTACTTCCTGGTAATATATATCTAAGAATATCACTTTGAAAAGTAAATAAACAATAGACTCAAATGGGAAGCAGCCATCACTTGATATAAGTAATTTATGTAGATTACATTCAATTACTAAAAAGCCCTCAGAAAATGGAGACAAATCCACATTTTCCATGGGCTTGAACCATTTTTTCCCCAAACTCACTAAGAGAAATTTAATTTGAAAAGATTGGCTATATCGATTGATCCAGGAGACACTTGGTACTTCCTAGAAGAATGAGGCTGATGAAAAGGAAACAGGGCTTTGATATTTATTAGGAAATGAATGGACTGATTTATACAGAAAGTCTCAGGATTGGTATATTTTATTTTCAAAAGATGATGGGCAGCATAATTAGAAATCAAAAGTAAAGTTTTATGAAATCCATCAGTATGTGGTCAGGGAGTCTGATGCAGAGATCTATATTTTTTAGTATTAATGTCTATATGAGTGATTGCAAGGCCCCTCTCAAGACAGCAACTGAATTTTCATGAAAGTAAGACAAAATGACAAATGCAAATATAAAGAGTTAATGTGGTATAGGAGAGGAAGCATTGAATTTGGCTTGATAAAGAATTCAGAGCCAGAAGATCTGAGTTATTTTCTAGTTTTGACATTTCCTTATCTCTAAAACAGTGATGATAACCTAACCCACAGTGTTACTGCAGAAATCAAATGAAATAGTTCAGGCAAAAAGGTATATACATAGGCAATGTACACAAATTAAATGTTTCTCCAATAGATATCAATGTCCTCAAAATAATAATTAATCTATCTTTTTTCTATTTGTCCATAAGTAATTGGGGTACAGGTGGTGTTTGGTTACATGAGTAAGTTCTTTAGTGGTGATTTGTGAGATCCTGGTGCACCCATCACCCAAGCAGCATACACTGCACCACACACATTGTCTTTTATCCCTTGCCCCCCTCCACTCTTCCCCACAAGTCTCCAAAGTCCATTGAATCATTCGTATGCCTTTGTGTCCTCATAGCTTAGCTCCCACATATCAGTGAGAACATACAATGTTTGGTTTTCCATTCCTGAGTTATCTCACTTGAAATAATAGTCTCCAGTCTCATCCAGGTCACTGCAAGTGCTGTTAATTCATTCCTTTTTATTGCTAAGTAGTATTCCATCATACACACACACATACACACACACACACACACACACACACACACACACATATGCATATACATATATATACACCATAGTTTCCTTATTCATTTGTTGATTGATGGGCCTTTGGGTTCATTCCATAATTTTGCAATTGTGAATTGAGTTGCTATAAACATGCATGTGCAAGGATCTTTTTTGAATAATAACTTCTTTTCCTCTAATCTCAGACTCACAGAAAAATCTGATAAATGTTTGGTGTGTAAATGAACCACTATCCAGAAACCACACCAAGAAAATGACCATTCTGATGGCATGCATGATTGGACAAAATGGGCTTTATAATACATAAATATAAACTTAAATGCCAGGTCTGGTGGCTGGCCAGGCACAATGGCTCACACCTGCAATTCTAACACTTTGGGAGGCCAAGGCAGGTGGATCACTTGAAGTCAGGAGTTCGAGACCAGCCTTGCCAACATGGTGAAACCTTATCTCTAGTAAAAATACAAAAATTAGCCAGGCATGGTGGTGCACCCTGTAATCCCAGTTACTTGGGAGGCTGAGACAGGAGAATCGCATGAACCTGGGAAGCGGAGGTTGCAGTGAACCAAGATTGCGCCACTGCACTCCAGCCTGGGTGACAAGAGTGAGACTCTGCCTCAAAACAACAACAACAAACATACAAAAAAAACTTGAAAACATCTATGCTAAAGTAAAAAAAAAAAAAAAACATAAAATATAAATCAACCAGATATGTATTTATAAATATATTCATTCTATATGTATAATATAAATATGTCTATATGGTTTAATAGTTCAAATGCATTGTGTAAAAAGAAGATATACATAAACTGTGATCATTTAGTGGAGCTAATTGCTGTCAAAGCACCTAAGATTCACTGAGGCAAAAAACAAATTTCCACTCGGGGCGATTAACTTAGCATGCTCACTGCAGTGTGTTTCTATCACTGCCAAATATTTGTTCACATCCAATTATTCTTTAGCAAACTTTCCCAAATGCAGTTTAAATTTTGTTTACAATGTAAAAATCTTACTATCAAAGTCAATGTCCTCACTTTGACAGCTTTAGGGAGCATATCAATTTTATAAATAACTGTGAAGATAACTGAAGAAAGATGAGTTACCTGGGTCTGTAGAGGCAATAGCCTAGATGTTTAGTTTTAACTCTCTTGGCTTGAATGAATATTCTCATCCATGGGTTAAAATACAGAACAGATGTGTAGGCTCTGAAGGACCATCTCTCTGGGAAACTGAAATAGAAAAGACAGAATGACACAATATAGAGAACACCCAACTACGTCTCTTTGAGACAAAATAACATCAGACTATCAGATTATTATTGTTACTACCAGAAGTTTCAGAAACTTTTCTTCTAAAACTAATGATACCATAAACACTAGCTAATCTCACAACAGTCACTTCATTAAGGAGGCCTCTAAACACAAGGCCCAGCACAAATAACCGGCACTTGGGTGGAACGGAACTTCTGTTGGCAATCAACTAATTCTAAGTAGACTCATAATAGCAATCTAAAATATACTTTCCAGGAAAGCTGTTGACCTAGGAGAACAAAGTCAAGTCAAATAAACAAAATAATCCCTTGTTCAAACATAACAAAAAGAACCTAGGCTCACATGAATAAAAAGTATTCCCATCAAGTCCTTATAAACAGAGAAATACAGTAAAAATGTTTCATTTGCTTTTAAAATTATGAACGAGAAACATAAAACTTCATTCTACAAATATAATAAGAATTAAAATAAGTATTTATGGCCAGCTGGGGGGAGGAACATGACCACATGATAATAAAAAAGGAAAAAAGAGAAAAATTAAGGATGGGAAGGCAATAAAATGGAAGCAAAACCAATGTAAATAGCCTATGAAGAAAACTACCCTTGTAAACTGCATTTTGGGAAATCACCATGTCATTGCATACTAATAACTCCAGAGAATTTCTATATTAAAGTCCGTTTATGAACTACAAGTCCTCTCCAATAAGATAAATAAAGATTGAAAACAAGCCCAGCCATGCTGAAGAAGCGATGCTCTTTACCACTCGGTCACAGAAAAGGCTACTCTGAAAAACTACAAGGTCAAACGGAAAGCAGAGAGCAGGAAACCCATCATTTTTATATTTGTACCTCAGTCCAGGATAAGACAAAGTTGATGGGAAAGAAAGGTAAAGCCAGTCCAAGGGGGAACTACAGGTTAACACTATCGCCAGTAACTCAGTAAGACAGGACAGAGCGCTAAGGAATTTTCAAAAATGAAGACGAAGCCATAAGAAATTCAAGAATTGCCTGGTTGGTTTTAAGTTCCTTCAGGCAGGATCCAAAGCTCATTAAAAAGTCAACAATTTATTTTAATTGTTCCAAAAGAAATTCTTTTAGATAAGCCTTGAGTAGAATTTTCCCGGTATAAATTACATATCAGTATCTAATCCATCACTCTTATTTCCGAAGTATTAATATTAATGTATTTTTTAATGTAACTAGATTGGCTGTCTGTATTAGGGTGTTGCACTGCAAATACAATAATGTGGTTGCTTTTAGTATACCTGGAAATGCACAATTAGGTAAGTCCTCACCTGACAAAAGAAACGGAAAAAAGTTAATTTGGGATGCTTGTTATTATTTAAATCCTTTCTGGATCTCCTGATTTTAAATTGCCCTTAGAACTGGTAGCTCTTTCTTTTTCCTTTTCTTTTTTCTTTCTTTTTTTTTTTTTTTTTTTTTTTTTGACTCTCTTCAAAACTGATACATCTCTATCATTTGAAAGTAAAAGTCTAAAGTCATTCAGAGCCAACTTTGAGAATCTGAGAAATACAGTGAGAGATAAAACCAGCTAAACAAATTTTGGTTAAAAAAATCACACACACACACACACACACACACACACACACACACACACACACACATATGTATATATATGAACACTAATACTTCTGCCTTTTAATAGCTCAATTTATTCACTCATTCAATAACCAGTTCTAGGTAAACATTCGTAGCATGCATGCAGGGGATCCTAAAGGTCTCCCCTATTTTAGGAGATTCACTGGAAGGACTCACGAGCCTTAGCATACAATTGTACTCATGGCTTTGACTTATCACAGTGTTGTAGTAAGGACATACAGAGGCTCACAAGGGAAAAAAAATAGGTGGAGTCTGGAGGGATCTATCTGCTAGCTTCCCTACATTCTCTCCTTCTCATGAACGTTCACACAGAGTATACTCTTCTCCCAGATACGAAAATGCAGCAATGTGTGTGTGATGTTTCCATCTAGGAAAGCTTATTACAGACTTGGCATCCAAGATTTTTATTGGGAAGCTAGCCACACAGGCACCTCCAGGCTAGCATGCATCTATCAATGTTCCAGAGTCCCAGAAGGAGACGAGGTTTTCATATAAGCCACATGGTTTGTACAGTCTAGACACAGCAAACCACGGTTATCAGCTATGAAAAGTTTTATGTCATTGTAGGAAATTGTTTACCAGGCAAGTTCCCAAAAGCTGGCCGCACACCACTTTTGCAAGCAAGCCTTTCTAAGAATAGACACCTGCTATGTTAACCCTTTTCTCTCACATGCCTTCCTTTGGAAGTTCCTATTTGTGAGAAACAGAAAGGTACTACCTCTTACTTGTGATGTCTTTGATAAAAAGAAGACAAAGAGGGCTAAATATAAAAACCGTATGTGAAATGGGCCACTCCATTATAAACGTGAAACTTTTTAATATGATGCGTAAGATTCTTCATGGTCTGACCCCCATTTAATTCTCCAGCCTCATCTCTTGTCTTCAGCCTGGCCATTTAGGACCACTCAGTTCTCCAGACAGGGAAGCACGCTTTCTTATCCCCAAGGCTGGCATATTCAGTTTTTCAGCCACTCTTGCTTCATGCCGCACTCCTTTTCACCCTGAGGTATGCAACTTGAGATTGCACTTCCTTTCTAAGCCTTCCCTCAGCCCCAAGAGGGGTGAAGTGCTCTCCTTTGTGCCCCCCTCCTTCTGTCCCTCCCTCTTCAAGGCACATACCACTCAGCACTGTCATCTTCTGTCTATGCCTCTGCATCCCCAACTGGCTGTGAACTCCATGCAGCTAGCACTCTCATCAATAAAAATATGCTGAATAAATGACAATCATTCAGCACTTCCCTGGCTTAATTTGTAATAAACAACAGAGGGTTCCCTACGTAAGAAGGATATTTTAATGAAGGATTGCCTCCAAAGGCAATGCTACCAGTCTTTACAAATAAAGCCATACACTTAGGAAACAGAGATACAAATATGCTAAGTAGTCAGGATATCTTCAGAAGATGAAAGGAAAAAAATACTATTACTCCACACTCACCGGGAACTGCTCCCAGGTATTCTTCACGAGTGTTCTTCCTGTTTCCTCCTAAATACCTTTCTTTCCTGTCTCCTTACACTTTGGCAGAAGTGTACATATCTCTATCTTTCTCTCTCATTTTCTATGTAACTGGCTATGATAAGAAACTGAAGAAAGAAAGAGGCAGAACAAACCCCCATCACACACACACACACACACACACACACACACACACACACACAGAGAGAGAGAGAGAGAGAGAGTCACATGACAGATGTAGCGAAAGAGGAGAGGATTTCAAGGCAGAAACTGGCTTCAAGTCTGTGGATATAAAAGGAGGGCATGAAGTAGAATTGGTGCTTTTGTCCCCTACTCAGCACTGGGGATTCTTAAGTCTCTAATTTAGCCCCTACCTATGGCTGTGCTCTGTGTGTGCCCTCTTTCTTCTCCCAATCTGTCCCCAGTATTCTGCTGCCCTTTTTTTTGTTTGTTTGTTTTGAGACGGAGTTTCGCTCTTGTTACCCAGGCTGGAGTGCAATGGCGCGATCTCGGCTCACCGCAACCTCCGCCTCCCGGGTTCAGGCAATTCTCCTGCCTC